GGGATCTAATTCGACGCCTAAGATTTTGATTTTGCTTCTGGCCGACCGCCTCATGGAAACAATGTGCAAGCTTTCTTTGGATAGATCGAACGCGACTGCGTTCGCCCGGCCACGTTCGGGCAGGCAGCTCTGACATTGCCGCGCGAAGGCATGAGCCTCGGCATTAGGCGTGGTGAGAGGAAGAGGGCGCAGCGCATTCAGGTCGTCTGCGTAACTAATTTCTTGAAGCAGCATTTTAATGATCGCCTCGCCTCGCGGGCGTCACTGAAAACAACTTCTGCGAATGCGGGGCTGGGGCGATGCCCTGGAAGACGCTGTCGGCCATTCAATTGCCTTCGAACGGGCGCCTGCGACTGCGGCGCCATGAAACGCGGCATCTACTGAACATGATGATACAAGAAAATGGAAGATCGCATCGCGGGCTCCGTCACCAGGAGTCTCAGCGACTTGGAAAGGCCCGAACAGTTTGGGGCGAGAGACGTGAGTGGGGGGGGGCAGGAGAGCAGAATGCGCTCCGCGCTTTTCGACAAGTCAGTCGTCAAGTGGATCTGTATAATTCGGGTTATGCATCGTCTCCTTCTTATGCAGCGGACAGATATGATGGAGGCGTCAGCCTGATGTCGGGCGGCAAGCTTTCAAATTGCCCACATGTATGCCGTCGGGGCCAGTGGCGGGGCCATTTTCTAAATTGCTTCAAACATTATTCGCCCGACAAGCCATCGCGGCGAAGAAATACGTCTGCTCCGCAGGGGCACGCTGCAGGATGGTTGAAATGTGCCAGCGCGGGCGCGCGCCATCGATCTTGAAACGTGGGCGCAAGGGAATCTGCCCCGTCGTTTCTGCGGGCCGGCCGAGCGCCGCTCGCGCGGCGCAGGGCGGGAGACGAGGACTTCGCTAGTTTCCCAGACAGCTCATTAGACATGCGCCACCAAGCCATTGCACCACGAGGAATGAAATCAAGCTCGGAGCGAATTCGAGCGCAATGCTGGTTTAATGAATTCGAGAAAACAGCGCTGCAATTGGGGGGCTGCAGAAGGAAATCGATCGCCGCCGGCAGCGCGCGTTTTGGCCGATGCAGCATCGACGCATTCTGTGGCCAGTCAGGCGCGGCTCGATCGAGCGGGGACAGAGGTTCGAGGAACATGACGTCGCATGATGTTTATAGTGGCTTCTATGAGGAACTCTGCGCCGCGATCGGGGGGCCCTCTAGTAAAGTCCAACGAACAGAATCTATGTGTGACCGGACGCGTTTCAAATTCGAAGCATTGAACTGCCGAGGCATCCGATGCGACGCAGAAGTAGAGAGAGGAGGGGAGGCAGGGGATATTAGAACAGCTGCGTGGTCTGCGACATTTTCTAAAGAGGCGAATGCCAGCTAACTCGTTCTAATCTGAGAGAGCTGAGTATAAAATGATGTTCTCGAGGTGGACCTCGGACAATTTGCTTCAATCAATGAGGCGAGCGTAAATGTGCAGCTTCGATGCCCCCCGGCGCGTTGCGGATCGAATGACGAAGCGGAGAAGGATTGAACGTTGAAGTCCCCAATAATTAAAACCCCGGTCGCCCGAGCAATTAAATTTTTGATATCAGAAAAGACGGTCGGCAATGGCGAAATCTCAGCGTGACAGGGGGGGCGGGGAAAACGTGCCAATGGGACAGGGCCGCACTCGACATGAAAAAACAAACCAGCCACACTCTGCGGTTGACGAATTTCCCGACGGAGAGACTGAGGGGACAAAACGATCAAGGACAGAAGCTGCCACCCCGCCACCGTTGCTATTCCCGTCCTTCCTGCAAATGCAGGTGGTGCGCCCGTGCAAATTGGGAATGGAAGTTCGATCGAATCGAGTTTCTTTCGAAATCAAATCAGACTGGGACGGGAGGGCAAAAGAGAAATGCGAGCTTAGATCTCAGCTTGCGAGGAGTGAAAGCCCTGAATGTTAAAATTCAAGATGGTGAAGTTCGCAAAAACGGTAGGAATATGAAACCTGGTTTCGCCGAGGTCTCCTCCGCGAGGTGAACGCTGTGCACTTTCATCTGGCTCAAAAGGCATTCGTGGAGCGAAATCTGACTCAAATTATGCGATGCACGTTTGGGCTCAAAGCTAATCAGACTGACCGCACCGGGCAACTCCTGGAGTACGGCCACTCGACATCTCCGGGTAAGGCGGCCGGATAAATCCGGATTGCGGCAATTCGAAGACTGTGGATTGAGGCGGCTCGAGGAATCCGTATTGAGACAACGCGACGGATCATCATGTAACCGGGCAGCGAAGACCGCGCTCGACGATGATTCCTGAGTTCTACGAATTCGTGTTGAACGCTGATCAACTGAAACACGAGATCTTGGACTTCGACGTCTCAAACATTCCTTTCTCTGTCTCGATGGATCAAAATCGGAAGATGAAAGGGGGCCCGGGGACCGCGCAGAAGCAACTGCGCTGCGGGCGAGTGTGGCAGAAGAGAAGCATGCCAAATGTGAAGCCCCTCCGGTTCCCCACGGGAAACGGAGGCGCCCGTGTGGGCTTTGGAATCTGCCGCCCACGCTGGAAACCACGTCGGCGGTGACATGGGCGCTTTGGAGCGTGGGTGTTGAGTCCGATATTGCAGACGCGCCGCCAGCCGTCTTGCCAGACTGGTGCCGCGTCGGCGAGGTTGGCAAGCGCGTCGTCTTCCTCGTGGGCAGCCGGGCGGTGGCGCGGCTGGTGAACGGCGAGATGGAGCTCGCGGATGATGCCTGCGCGCCAGTATCCATTCGCACCAGTAATATTCAACATCTCCTGCGCCGTCTCGGTTGGCGCCCTCGGCGGGATCGCGGGCCCTTCGTGGGCCCCGAGCGAGTGGGGCAAAGCAGCGGGCCATCTTGCGAACGTTGTCACTCTACAGCTCGTGCATGCAAGCAATCCATCCTATGGTCCCAGTCCGGGGGGGTAGTTAAATTGGCTAGTAGGGCCCAGGGCCCAGGTTATGCCAGTAGGGATAGGGGTCGGTTAAACGATGTTCGGTTGTTTTTTTTTCTATCTGTGTCAATCTCTCTGTTTCGGTCTCTCTATTCTTGTGTCTCTCTCTCTCTCTCTCTCTTTCTATCTCTCTCTCTCTCTCTTGACCGGTTCCTTCTCCTCCTGTCGATCAAGTCCCCCCCCTTTTTCCCTCCTCTGGATTTTGATTTCGGGTTCCCGTCGGATGCCTGTTTTGTCGACTGGGTTCAAGAATCGCATTGTAACGCATCCAACACGTCTTACAAGTGTAAAGCTGATATTGCTCGCCCGATCATGATTTTACGCGCTGTCTCCTTGAGCATCTACATGTTTTGAAGCTGCGCAGCCCCTTCTTCGATTTTGTTAAGTGATCGCGTTCCCAACGGGACCGTCACAAGCTGTTTCGCTCACCCCCTCATCCCTAACCCGCCGCCCCACTATGTAACCGGCCGGGATTTTTACCATAGGCAAAGGTCGCCGTCGGATGGACAGCCATTGGGGAAGTGATGCGGACGCCGGATCGCGAGGCACGCGAGGTGCGCCACGCGTGCCAGGTGCGCCAGATGCGCAAGGTGGCCCAGAGGCTAAAGCGTGTCAGGCGCGCCAAGTGCGCCAGATGCGCCACGTGTTCCACGCGCGCGAAATGAACCATAGTCTCAAGCCGCGCCAGGTGTGCCTGGTGCGCCGCTTGCGCGACGAGCGCAAAAGGCGCTCGATGCGGCAGTGCATGTGACAGTACGATTGACAAATCGCAGCATATCGGCGGCGGGGTGGCCACCATGGAATATGGTGATGGTGTATGATGTGTGCGCCTGCAATCAGTTTGCGCTTGTTTCTGACACGGATCGTGGGCGAGCACGGTGCGGATAATTCGAGGTTTACCGGCATTTTGGTCAAAATCATCGCGGTCGCGGGGCGCCCGCTCATGATCCATGTTTTTTTCTGCCATGTTCAGTTTGCATTTTTTCGAAGGGATGGTGGAGGGGTTTCCTTTTTGTCCTATGTCGAGTGTGGGAGGGGGTCCCTATTCATATGGAGCACTGATAACCCCTACCCCGTACGCGGAGGGAAATACAGAGGTACAAAGAGAATGTATACCCCCCCAAACCATCGAAGCCCAGAGGGCCAATTATATTTCGCGGGGCACCTTTCCAGGCCATTGGTTCACACTCATCATCCAGGCTTCCTCCCGCGAGCGTCTACCTGCACACTTTGCATTCCTTCCTCCATTTGCCTCCCTTGTGCCATTCCCATCTCAAAGGCGTGCTGCGGCCAGCTCCGACCATTTCTGCGATCTCGATGCTGGACCAGGGGAGCTCCGACAGCAACATCTAGATCATTGCCAAAGGTGAGCTTTCGCAGACTGGCGCTAGCAGCCCTCCACCGCAGTGGCTGTGCCTGACTGACCGCAGCATGCCGCATGACTCCCCCCATGAACCCGCGCCCTCGTCGACTAAGGTATCGGCTACGAGTGCTAAGCCAGCGCACGCTTCTCCAATCCCTCGGCTGATGGCAGCCATGCAGCGACTCTGATGGGCTGTGCAATCTGCGCTTTCGCGTTGCGGTTTTTTGATCTCAATGACATGTGGCACCCTATTCATCATTTTCGTGGCCCATCTAGGGCAGCTGATGTGACAGAGGAGTTGGGCATCTATATGTGGGGCCAGGGCTCGTGAGCGGAAGCTCTCGGTGTATCGTTTCCGTTTCCTCACGTTCGGATTGGGGGAGGCGCTTGCGAGAGGGGTTAGGGGAGTTAAGGTCTATGTTGTGTCGACGCGGTGGCGACCCCAGCGCAGGTTGTCAAGATTGAATACCGCCGCTGGTTCAGAGTCGGTTGATATCGAACGATCTGCGCTGTCGGAAAACGCCCCGATCGTTTCAAGTTGAAGTATCCACGCGGGGGTCAGAAACTAACGCGCAAGTCGTCGCGGCACGAACCTGCCGCACGTCAGAAGAACAGGGAGAAGCACGTGTGCTAGTTTTGCGCGACGTTCGACCGTGATCTCGCTGGCGTTCCGGCAAGATCAACGAGTGCGAGGGCGCTTCAGGCGCCTGTCGAGCGCTCCGCCAGCCCGCCCCGCTGTGGGCGGAGGTTCTGGCGTGCCCCGTGGGGCTGGCGGCGTTGCGTTGGTGCTGGTGCCGCAGGCACGCGGCGCAGCTGCTGGAGATCGGGCTGAAGATCGGGCCTGAGGTCAGGAGCGGGCGGCGAGCGCACAGCGCTCGTGGCAGGCGGAGCACGTTGGGCGCGCGCACTCTCTTCCGAAGGGCACCTCCCCAGCAGGTGCTCTGGGGCCGCGCCTCAGCGGAACAGGGGGCAACTTCCACAGGGATGACCTTCGGAACAGATGTGCCGGTTACGCTCAGGAAGGGCCCTTCGCCGGAGAGACCTTTGGTGCGCGGCTTCGGGAGGTCGCCGGGGGGCTCACCTCATTCGAGTACGCAGGCCGCTGCTGTCGCATCGCATTCAACGATCGGAAAGCTGCGCACCAGAGGTCACTCTTGCTAGGGTCACCGTGGCGTGCAGCCGAAGGTGGGTCTTTCGGAACCCCGTCGGACTCGACTGGTTGTCGGCTGTTGGCTGCTCGCCGTGGCCCGAGTCCGTTCAAGCAGAATGCATCGTTGCAGCCAGCCCATCCCGTGCAGCGGTATCGGGCCGCGCCCTGTCCTGGTTGGGAGTTTTCTGCTTTGGGGGAAATCGGGGCCCACAAACGGTACGGTGAGCACGTCGTGTGATGATTCGTTGTGCCTGGGCGGTTTTGGGACTTGAGTCGTTCTCCGTCTCGGGCGATTGGGTCTTCCGAGTTCCCAAGACTCTGTGATGACGGACCGCGCTGTGAGGTCTTTGGACATTTCGAGGTCACCGCACGGTCTGTCACGGAGACAGCAAAAGCTGGAGTTATCTCCGCAAATTTGTTGCGAGAGTTGCAAGGGCCGCCCGCGGCACGCTTGGGTTCTGTTCTAGAGTCCCAGGGCGGGGCCGCGGTCGTGGCCGTGAATTCTCAGATCCATTGCTTACGCAATCATCCCATCCACCCACCCACCCCACAATTTGGTTTGCAAAGCCCATGCGGCGGCCATCGCGGTGATTGCTTGGCGCTGGCTGGCGCATCGCTGCGGCCGCGCTCACGCGCGCAGGCTCGCGCTCAGAGCGGCCAGCTAGTCTGGCGCGACCGACGCGGCCGCGGTGCCGCTGACCAACGGGCGCGAATGGCCCGCGTGGTATTCTTGTGAAGCCCGGGGCCCCATGGCTGGCGCCGGGGCCGGGGCCGGGGCCAGGGCCAGGGGGGGGTTGGGGCCAGGGCCGGGTCCGGGGCCAGGGCCGCGGCCGGGGCTGGGGCCGGGGCCGGTGTCGGGGCCGGGGCCTGGGCTGGGGCTGGGGCTGGGGCCAGGGCCGCTTGAATATGTTTTTGGGATGTTCAATGTTGAAGTACTTGCGACACCGGAGGTTTTTGAAAGGGTTCCAGCATGCGCGCGCGACGACGCGCGCGTATGCACTTTGTCTTTCTTTGTACTGGGTTTTCGAATCATGACTAAACGAAACGAGTGTGCGCGCATAGCGTTCTTTGCAGAGAATGGTGGGGTGTGGGAGGTCTATACCAGCTGGGCTGGGGTCGTATGGTACATATTCAGAGTGAGTAAAGTGGCAACATCGTGTGTAGATCGACGTTTCCCAGGGGAAGATGAGTCCGGCTTCGAGCTTCGGGGTGGTGGATCATATTTGTTAGGACGAGGGGAATGATTGACGGGGTGCAAGCTACGGAGTACGGATCGCAATCTCATTTATGAGGTGTAGGCTACGGAGTGCATTAACTTATGCGCGATTATCTAAAGGCTGCCGCCTCTGTCGCCGACCCCAATTGAGCGACGAATGTTGGATTCGTTAGTGGTCGGGGTACTTTTCCGAGCACGGCAGGAAGGGTTCAGATGAGTCTCCAGATCCTCCGTTGCATCTCGGATTTCTTTTGGGGGCAGTTTGAGAGCTTCGTGGGGTCGCTGTGGGGTCTCTTGGGGGTTTCCTGCAGCCTTTGGGGGCCTGCTGGGGAGTCTTTTGGGGCCTTTTGGGGGCCTTTCGGGGTGGAACGTTACGACTTGTGGTTCGTGTTCGTTCTCGTGGGCCATTTCTGTGGCCGTCATGGGGTTCCGTGGGCGGTCTCTTTGGCAGTGCTGGGGTGGCATGGGGGACCTCGGGAACGCCGTCGTCTTTGAACGAAAGACGGTGTGTTCCCGAACACGCAATTTGTTGTGCTTCTTCAGGTCTTTTTGGGAGGCATTTGCGAGGCTTCTTGGTACATGTTGGGGCCTTCTTCGGCCTGTGGATGCCGCGTAGGGTGTCTTGGGGCGATATTTGCACAGCCGGGGCGGTTGGGGCCGTTTTGGGTGTTTTTCAGGCGCTGTTGCCTTGTTTGGAGGGTCCCATCGCGCCGAAGCGCTGACACGAGAGACCGCGAGAAGCCTGTGGGGGTCTGGCTTCTGAACGACTCCTCAGGTGTACGGACTGTGGTTGACAGGGTGATGGTGCGAACCTGAGGGCACGCCCAGTCCGTGCCTTGAAGCACGGTGGCGGATCGACAGAACCATAATATTCTGACGATCATGGATGTGACGGATCGCATCGCGTTGTCGAGCTCCACTGGGGGAACCGTCTTGGGGTATGTCTCGTGGTTCCTTTGTGTAAGTCGTGGGGGGTGGCAGTACATCGGGTTAGCGGTTGGCAGAGTGGGCGAGGTGGCAAAAATTATTCTGGAATAGCGATTATCTTATCTCCGGGAGGAAACATGGGGTTGGACGAGGAAGCGCGGTGGATCATTTCTGGCCCAGACGGCGGGGGGGCATTATGAGGCAGGAGACCCCATGCGAGAAATTGTCCCGGCTGGTGGCGGCGAAGCCAGTATCGTTTTGTCGTGTTTCTTCGGTGCCGCTTGCGAGGCGGTCCGGTCGGTCTGGCCTGAGACATCCTTGCAATCGTAGGGTTCGAGATGCAATCGCAGTTCTAGGCTTCGAGGCACGCGCGACATCCTCCCAGCTTTTCCTCGCGCACTGCCGCAACTCAGGGTTCCTGCATGCCCTGATCCGAACTGGTCCAGCTAGTTTCGCTTTATATTCCTCGCAACTTTCGGTTCGGATATGACCTGGCCTGCCGTTGTTCAGCCATCTTCGCCCGATCCATTTTTTATTGATGGGTTCGTCGATGCTCTGGTATCACGGTGTCCGATCCCGTTTCTGGCCGCGTCGTGTTTTCGGGATCTGCATCGACAACATTCCAACACCAGTGCAGGTAAAGCGACGCCATCGGCGGGGGAGGGGGGAGGAGGAGGAGGATGATGATGATGATGATGAGGGGGAGGAGGAGGAGGAGGAGGA